ATGGTCCAGATGATAAAAGTTGGATTGAAAATATTCTCTCTAAAAAAGTTAGAAAGTTATCTACCAAGATTGCTTTTAAGTTACAGAACCACCTCGCATGTAGGCAGAACACAAAGCCCCTCAACACTGATGGGGATGTAAATTAGGGCCCTAATAACCATGTCCTTCTCAACAAATGAGAATGTATGGTACAAGAGGAATAAGGATTTGAGTCCTGAGAAAGCACAATTTGTAGTGCAAAAAGGATTTAATACAGTGGTATTAACAAAAAATGGACACTGCATGTTAGCTCATGAAGACCAGTTTAGATTTAGAGAGCAGGAAAGATATTGAAATGGAGGAAGAGCCTGGTGTTGATGAGAGAGATCAGGATGATCATCAAGATTTTGAGGTTGAAAAGGAGGAGAGAATGAGTATGTCTAGTGATAATGAGGAACAGGAGGAGGATTCAGGTAAAGAAAATCCAATAAGACCGAGAATCCCCGTAAAGTGGAATATAGGCAATTACCATGAGACAAGCAGTGCACCTCTTCACAGAAGTAGAAAATTTATCAAGGGCATAAAGCCTCTAAGGTTCTGGAAGATATGGTGATATGTAAATTAGATTGTATATAAGTGGGAAGCTTTCTACACTTGGGAGGGTAGTTATCTTCCCTTGACTACACTGTGTACTTGTGCAAATAAATACATGACACAACAGCCACTTTTCTAGATTTTTTGCATTAATATAGGTATTCCCCAGGGTTCTGTTCTCGGACATACATTGTTACTAATTTTTATCAACAACCATCCAGATGGCATCATTTCTTAACTTGGTATCAATATATATAACTTTATTTACTCCTGTCTTAATAATAAACCTGATGGGTTTGATAAGGTCAAATTGGCAGCTGATCTCAAAAAGGATCTATACTCTGTTGTTAACTGCGGCAAGGAATAGCTTGTTAATTTTAATGCCTCCAAAATGGAGCTTCTCTCTATTAATCATCTTAGAGAACCCTTTTTGCCTTCTATCAGCATGACTGATGCTAACCTTAAAGAGAATGACTCGTTGCACCTTCTTGGGCTAAATTTTCTACTGATATGAAATGGAAAGATTAAATTGAATCAATTGATAGGCCTAGTGCTAGAAAATTTTGTTCACTGAGTTGTGCTAGACAATTTTCCCCATCTGAATCTATCTTACATATTTATAAGTCTACAATTCATCCATAATTTGAATATTACTACAACTTATGGTCTGATGCTCCTGATATATATTTAGAAATCCTTGATAAAATACAAAGAAGAATCTGCAATTCCATTGGTCCTAAACTAACATCTTATCTTCAGTCACTTTTCCACTGCTCTAATATAGCTTCCCTGTACCTATTCTATAAATTCTGTCATGGTAATTGTTCTAGTGAACTTTCTCTATGGTACCTAATCTTTATGAATATGAACGTAGTACTAGATTGGTAGCAAGGTCTCATCATTTTACAGTTGAAATGCCTAAATGTAACCATAAATTCTATGCTAAAAGTTTTTTTTCTCATACTTCTCACTTGTGGAACTCTCTTCCAGATTTTTGTTTTCCAGTCAACTTGATCTTCAACAATTTAATGCAATGTCAGTCGTTATCTTCTGTCTTCTTAATTCCTTTTCTTTTATTGTTCTTACTCCTTAATGATGTTTTTCTTTTTTCTTATATTCTTTCGCATTCAGTAACACTCTGTATCTTAGTGGCTTTATTCCCTTGCTTAGGGTGAAATGATTAAAAAAATAATTTATCAGGTATAGAAAATTAATTATCTGAGTAGTATTCATGATGGAAAGTGTAACATAGAAATTTGAAGATGCATAGGAATAGAGAAAAGAGCCTTTCAGAAATTGATCAATGTATTAAGGGACTGGGAAATGTACTTAGAAACAAAGGGTGCCTGAAATACTATGTAATGCATTGTTTGTAGAGAAAGGTGTGGGGAACACTGATAACTATTCTCCCAGCACCAAGCAACACTTGTTAGAATTTAAATTTCAACTTGATATACTTTCTTGCAGGTAAAATGTCTCACTTTCCCCATTTCAGCTATCTCTATCAATATTCAAATATATTCCTCAGCTAAAAGGAGGATTATGTATTTTTTTTAATTCTTTGGTCAAACCATATACAGTCTACTTAGTGTCTCTTTTGATACTGTATGGTGAGTCCATTGTTCTCATTTGTTCTGCTACCTTCATGCCCACCGTTTTCACCACATGTCTAATCTCCTATATACTGGAAAATTTCCTCACAGATGAAGAAAAGACTTGAAGTGGCAACTGTTTAGAATAACATGGAAAAAAATATGTGAGAAACAAAGAAAGAAGAGCAAAGAACTGCTGTTAACAATCGGAAAGGGACAGCTGAAGTTTTTGGGACACAATGGAAAAAGGAAGACTAAGAGAATTTAACACTCACAGAGATTATTAAAGGCAAGAGAAGCAGGGGAGACAGCAAGTAAATGGATGAAAGATCAAGAACCACAAAAACCAAAAAAGTAATGAATAACATTCTGAAAGATTTTACTTCAGGTTTGACAGTTCTTGGGTGAACCACATAAATAGCTTTTGATTGAAAATTGCCCATCTAGACTTTTTTTGAAGAAAATAAAAAATAATGAGACATATTAAGCATACCTTGAGTATATATTTAACAGAAAACGAGAATAATATTATAAGATTAACAGAAAACCATAATAATATTATAAGATTTCTCACGCTGTCCACTGACATGAGGTGGAATAAATATATTGAATCAATAGCTTCATCTACCGCAAGGAAAGGTGGTTTTCTGTGTTGTGCCAGAAAGTTTTTCTCATTTGAGTCCATCCTTCAAATCTATAAATCAACCATTCGTCCTCGCATGAAATATTGCTGTCATATATGATCTGGTGTTCCTACTGTATGTCTCGAAGTCCTTGACAAAATCTAGAGATGAATATGCAATATGATAGATTTTCACAACAACTGTTCCAATGAGCTACTTTTGTTGGTTCCCAGACTGCATGAATTTAAGCGAGCTACTAGTCTGGCATCTCAGACCCACTCTTTCACTGCCAAAACAGTTAAATGTAACTGTCTCTTCTACTCAAACAGCTTCTTCTCTCACATTTCCTGTCTGTGGAACTCCCTTCCCCTTACTTGCTTCCTTGATGACTATAATCTTCAAATATTCAAGTGTAATGTCAATTGACATTTGACACCCTGAGCTTGTTCCTCATCCTTCTCTGTATCCTTTCCTCAAACATGCTTCATTACTCTCGTTCTCAATCCTCTGTAACCCTTTGCATGCTAGTAGCACTCCTGTCTTGCTTAGGATGAATTGCTTTAAAAGAAAAAAAAGATTTATTGATATAATGAATTATTTGCCCACATGATCACCATTTTGACGGGTAACTTCTAAAACCCTATTACTCATGGAATCAATTTTTTTATAATAGCAAGCTGGTCTACCTCTGCTGCAGCTTTGATGGTCACCCATAAGATATCTTTCAATGTAAATTGACATCCATTGGCATAAACATCTGGTTTCATGATAGACCAAGGATTTTTGATAGGGTTGAGATCCAGAGAGGCTGGCAGGCACATAACCTTTCACCTTGTATGCTGTAAGAGCCTAGGAATGCTTGGGTAACCTTGGGGTGAGAGGGAGCATTGTCATGCATGAATACTAGAATTCTTAGAAGTGACAGCAGTATGTAATCTAGCCAGGGATCCAAGACCTTATTCAGGAGATTGCAGTAGGGAGCTGTGGTCACTTTAACCCCTCAGGCACCTTGAGTGTGCCAACAAGTCTGTCCTCAATGATACCAGCCCTCAATATGACTGCCACCCTGTTGTTAACATTGTAAACATTGGTGACACTCATCTCTGAAATAGAGCCAACCACTTTCCCCAACCATCAAGTCCATCAAGGGTCACCCTGGTCTTGTCAGTGGACGAACACTACTCATGTTCAACATCATGCATTTCTGAGCCTATTGCAGCCTCAAATTCCTGTGACGGAGCATTAAAAGAAGTGGTTTCAGGGGATCTTGCACAGAAGTCATGATCCCGAGGATACGATTTCTGGTGGCTTTTGCTACATAAGGATGTCCAGCAGTGGTGAAAATGACTTTGTTTGTTTGTCTGGGTTTCCTATTTAACTTGCGGCTAATATTCTTTAAATCTTTCGCTGTCACAGTCTTGGAGGTTCCACAATTGAATTGTTGTCATTTGCACTTTCTTGAAGATGACAGACTTTTCTGCATCATTGAAGCATTTTCCACAACCCATTGTTCTTAGAGAAAAGCAATGCTATTAGTGCGGTTCACTCAAAAACTGTCAAATTGGAAATAAGAAATAAATGAATTTACACAGAATAATGAAAACCTGACAATGATGTTGGCATATTGTACAAACCAGCTGGGAAAAGTTTTATCAAGATCAATTCACAGGAAACCGAGAAATCCTAAATTTCACTACCAAGCTATTAGTGTGGTTCAGAGTGTAGACACACACATTTACATACTCTTCTCCTACCATTTTTACACAGACTACTATGTTTGAACACACACACACACACACACACACACACACACATATATATTCCCAGACTCTCTTTCATGTACCAGGACATTTATCTTTGAATTTTTATCTCTCTATCATTCTGTATATATACTGTTTTTTACATAAACATTTATTTTACTTATATTCACTCTCTGGTGATTTTCTTCCAATCCTTACACAAGGCCACTGTGTAATGGTGGGAAATGAGATTGTCATAAGATAATCAATCTTCCATTGCCACCATGTGCTTATGTAAAAATCACTTGAGAAACAATGATTATTTATGCTTCAATAAATTTCTTTGAGATTAAATGATTATAAGGTCATTTTTCAATGGGTCAGCCATGTTTTAGTCTTCAAATTTGACAGGAAAACTAACTGTGACTTTGTGAAACTAATTTGTTGATTTAATTTTTAATTTATTTTTTTAGGATGTTCAATGGAATGATATTGACTATATGGACAGACATCTTGACTGGACATACAACACCAAAAATTTTGCAGAGCTGCCAGAAATTGTTGAAGACTTACATGCCCATGGCCAGCACTATATTATGATTGTGGTAATTGTTTTTATTTAAATCTTTGTAGATGTGTAAAGAAATATAATAAAGTATTTAGAAAGTAAGTACTTTCAATGCATCAACCAGGATATCTTTCACTTTTTTTTATCACCTTGAATATTTTATTTTACTTTTAGTTATGTTCACAGATTCTGTTTAAAAAATTAAATATTTATTATAATCTTATCATCACTATCATTAATTTCTTACTTGATTTTTAAAAAAATGTATGTCTTTAATAATTAATGATTTTTCTATTTTTTAAATTAATATTTGAAGGCATCAACAAAATCTATTCTTGCTATCCTTCAAGGGACATACAAATAATCCACTTATTAAAATGTTAGGAATATGATAAAGATGTATTTATTTATCTGAAAGAAAGAAACTGTAGTGATATGCAAATTAGTATGATTTGCATATGAGCAGGTAGCGCATAATATAAATGGACAACAAGAAGACCCAGAGTACGTAGACACGTGGATTCGTTGCTTTGCTGCTAATGCAAGATGTAAAAAGTTGAAAGACAACAAAAACAGAGGAGGGGAAAATGAAGTCACCGACTCGTTCATGGCTACAGCTGGTTGTGAAGCGATTATGAAGGTTGCTACAATGGTTTACCCTTGAGAACTAGAAGAAATGACTTTCGAAGAAATAAGTCAGGTTATTAAGGGAAACATGAGGCCAAAGAAAAGACTGCTGATTGCAGAAAGGACCAAGCTTATGGCAATGAAGCAGGAAGTGGATGAACCGATAGTAAAATATTTACACTGGTTAAGAAGTGCGAGTAAATACTGTGAATTCGAAAAACTAGGAACAGGAGAGCAAATTTGTGGGAAAAAATGGGAAAACCGTTTTTAAAAAAAACCAACGTACAATTACGTCAGTTTGATGGTTTGATTATAGCAATTATGGGTTACTTTGAAGGTTCAATAGAACTAAAACCAAAATATGAAATAGTACCCATTATAGTTACAAATTGCCGAAAAAATGCATGGACTATTGGGGAATGACGTGTTAAAAATAAATTCAACGAAGTTGATTAATGAGATAGAAATAGAAAAACAGGAAAATTAAAAATTATGAAGCTAGCTTGAAATTAAAAGAAAATGTTTCCCCCTCATACTACTGAAGCGAGAAAAATACCAGTGCATTTATTACCGTTGGTAATAGCTAAATTATGTAAAGCTAATAAAGGAAGACTTATTAGAACCTGCCCTCCAGGAGGAAGTAAATGGGCATCACCCATTGTGGTATTGAAAAAAAAAAAATGGTGACCTGAGAATTTGTGGAGATTATAAAATAGGGGTGAACCATAAAGTTTGTGCTGACTCGCACCCTATTCCGAATGTGGAAGTAGCTTTACATAAACTTGCTGGAATGAAAGTATTTTCGAAGATAGACCTAAAATCAGCTTACCACCAAATACCAATAAATGAAAATTTTAAAGAAGTGACGACCATAAACACACCTATAGGCCTGTTAAGGTGGAAAAGAATGCCGTGGGGCATAAAAAACGGCAAGTGCAATTTTTCAAAAAGCTATTGAAAAAGTAATAGGAAATGTTGAAAATACCATCTGTTATCAAGACGATATATGTGTTGGAGATTTAAATGAAGATGATTTAAAGAAAAAAAACTGAAAATATATTGAACCGGCTAAGAGACACTGGTATGACAATAAATACAAAAAAAGTGTGTAACCAACAGTAATGAAATATCATTTTGGGTTACTCAATATCAAAGGAAGGGATCTCTCCAGATAAAGTATTAATAGAGAAAATTCTAAAAGTTGCTACACCTTCAAATAAAAAAGAGTTGGAGTCCTTCTTAGGTTTGGTAAATTTTTATAGAAAATATGTACCAAAATATAATGAGTTGACAGAACCATTTGCTAAGTTAAGAAAAAAATGTGGAATTCATTTGGTTAGAACACCAACAGAAAGCCTTTGAAAACTTAAAACAGATTCTGGCAAAAAGCCAATAGTACAAATTTTGACCCTAAGAAGGACATAACTCTAACTACTGACGCTAGTGAGCAGTCCATATCTGGTATTTTGTCACAAGATGGGTATCCGATAATGTACTTATCGAGGAGATTAACAACAACTGAACACAATTATTCGAATATAGAAAGGGAGGCACTAGCCATAGTGTGGACAACGGATAGAGCAAGACAGTTTTTGATGGGAAAAAATTCTTGTTGAAAAGTGATCACAGACCACTGGAATTTATTTTCAACCCAAGAAAAGAGCTACCGAAAGTTACAACGTCCAGAATATTGCGTTGAAGCGATTAGACTGATGGCGTTCGACTTTGACATTGAATATGTTAAAGGAATATGATACTACACGTTGATGCCTTATCTAGATTGAGGTTTTATAGAGAGGAGAAGGACAAAAACGATGAGGAATTTGAAGACACATTCTTGCACCTTGTAGAAACCGATGTAATATCTGTAGATAAAATGGCTACTGAAACTACAAATGACCAAGTGTTAAATAGAATAATGTCAAGGATAAAACAGAATCGCTGGGGAAATTGTTCAATGGCTGAAAGACCATTCAAAGAAATTAGACATAGAATGACTATAGAAAACGGGATAATATGTAATGGAGACTTGGTAGTTCCCCCAGAAACACAGAAGAGACAGGTTATAAAAAGTGTACACGATGACGTACATTGTGGAGTGGCAGCTACACAAAGAAGATTAAAATTAGAAGCTTGGTGGCTGGGGTACTCAAGAGACGTGAAGACTACGTGAGAAGATGCAAAAAAAATGCACAGAACTTAGGAATTTTAAGCAAAAGAAAATACATGTATGGCCCCGAGAAGTAGAACCATGGAGTAGAGTACACATGGACCATGCCTATGTCAATGGGATAGGACTATTATTAATATTAGTAGTCGCATATTCAGGTTGGCCTGAAGTGGTGAGAGTACCTGATAAAAAAAAGTACCACCGTAAAACAAATATTAAGAGTAATATTTTCGAGGAATGGGACACCGAGAACATTGGTGACTGATAACGCACCAGAATTTGTGGATGCTGATTTGCATGAATGGTTAAGAAAAATAGGATGCAGACCTTACAAGACCCCTCCCTACCACCCTCAAAGTAATGGGATAGCGGAAAGGATGGTCCAGACTGTAAAGAAGGGCATAAAAGCATGCTTGCAACAGAAGGAGGAAGTCGATACTTTTCTACCAAGACTACTATTAAGTTATAGAACAATTCCACATGCAGGCAGGCTGGAAAGTCCATCTGCCTTAATGGGCAGACAATTAAGGTCCCCTTTGACAATGTCATATGCCACAAATCAAAAGATGTGGTACAAAAGAAATAGGAATATGCAACCCGAATCAGCCGAATTTATTATGCAGAAAGGACATAATACTGCAATATTAAATAAAGAAAATGGGAACAGTATTCTAGCTCATGCTGACCAAATAAGATCCCAAGGAGAAGAATCGGATGAGGAAATGCCTTCAGAGATGCCCATGATTGACGTAACAGAAGAGTTAATGCAGAATGAAACTGTGGAGGAAGAAGTAGAGAGGGATGAGTTAGAGGAGGAAGAAGTAGAATGGGACAAGTTAGAAGAGGAAGACAACAGTATGCAAGAGGAACAGTTCGATTATAGGGAAAGACGTGATAGATCTAGATCTCCAAGGAAAGGAGAGAGATAAAGGAAGATGTTCAGGAGGGCACAAGAAGAAGTACAAGAAGTACTTTCATGCATAAGGCCCCTCCGTTATAGGGAGATGTAGTGATATGCAAATTAGTATGATTTGCATATGAGCAGGTAGCTCATAATATAAATGGACAACAACTAGAACGGAAGTGAAATGCTTACTAAGCAATATACACGACATAACAGAAACATCTATATATTTTTTGGCACATAGCTTCCAGCACTTTACCTCTTATGAATACAAGATGGCTTTATAAGTTACCCATTATTTTTGTTAAAATTATACTAAGAAAATTTCCATATTGAAAAGGCAGCTTCAGTCCTGTATTGACATTTTTCCTTTAAGACTAAATAAATGGTCTGGTACTCCTGCTATATATTTAGAAGAATCAGCAATATTATTGGTCCTGGTCTGGCATCTCAGTTTCAGTCACTTTCCCACCACCATAAAGTGGCTTCATACTTTTTGCTATGGTATATAGACTTTATGAATTTAAGTGTAGTACTAAATTGGCAACAAGGTTTCATCAATTTACAATTGAATTGGCTCGATATAAGCATAAGTTGCCAACCAACTTTGATCTTCAAAACTTTAAATGCAATGTCAATTGTTATCTACTGTCTTCTTGATTACTTTTCTATTGTCCTAGCTCCTTAGTAATGTTTCTGTTTTTTAATTCTTTCACACCTATTAACCCCTTATGTCTTAGTGGCTTTACTGCTTCGCTTGAGTTAAATTCGATTAAAAAAATACCTCCTGTGTGGGATTTTCATGTAACCTTGTGCCATATTCTTCTCTCATGGGTATGTAATTGCTTGGTAAACTTATACAACTGTGAACTAGAACGTAATCTCTTGCTAATATTATTCCAAAAAAATGTTGTTTGCCTTTTCAAGCTTTAGTATTATTTAATAATTTTGTTTAATATTTTGCTAGATTTTGTGAATAGATTTATGGCTATTAAAGTCTAACAGACTAAATTTCGTTAATTGTATTTTTACTTTAAAACACACCATATTAAAGTGGCCAAAATATAATTAAGTACGAATGTTCTTTTGTATCATTAGAAATTTTATTTTAACCTAACAGAGAATTTGATTTAATATAGAAAAGGTGCTTAATAGTGCATTCAAAGTTTAAATTTGAAAAATTAATACTTCTTATGCCTAATAATTGTATTTAAAGTTGTTATTTTAAAAATGTGATTGAGAAGTAATGTTAAACTTTATTTCCATGGGAGCACGTCTGATTTTTTTTCTGCAGGATCCTGGCATCAGTAACCAACAGAGAGAAGGAACATATCCACCTTATGACAAGGGACTCAAGGAAGGAATCTTCATAACAGATTCAAAAGGAGGCAAACCAATTGTTGGAAGGGTGAGAAGTAGTTGAGATAGATACATCATTCAATATAATGAGGTTTGATGATACACAAATACAGCAGAAATATAACAATGTGCAATAAATAGAATGATGACAAATATAGTACAATACTGTGTAAATGCTTTGTATGATTCATTGTTGTCTTGCAAGTCATTGTGTCTAGTGTCTAGAATCAAGGCAGGAAATGAGAGATATCTGAGTTTTACTCTCATGTAAAAAAAGACCTTTTGCCTATTTTCTATATGGATTTTCTATTTCCTATATATTTGAAGAAGGACATAGAATGAATCTGCTGCAATGTTATGATAACAAATAGAACAAAATCAACAGGTTAAACAACCCTTTGATTAGCAATCAACTACAAATATTCAACGTGTCTACATGCACACTGAGATACACATAAAAGATCTAGCTTGTTTAAACTAAAACACATTCTTTCATCTAAGTCTTGATCACTGATTCTTGGTCAGAGTTGCTACTGGTGAATTTAAATTGGAAATTGAAACCAATCACTCAACATTTATGAAGCAATAACGTTTTTCAGCTCCAGTTAAAACATTTTTCAGTGGGATTCTGATTGAACAAGGATTAATTATATATAAAAATGAAAAGAAAACATTGAGATTTCCCTCAAAATACAAGACTGCTGTATTTAACATTATTTTCAACAACACTGGAGGTTAAATATACACTGAAAATATTAGCAGTTTTCTAGAGCATTGAGGTATTCAATATTTGTTATATTAGTTTTTCAGAACCCAGAGTAAAAGGGTAGACATTGTGTTACCCTTCATTAGTTAATATTTACTTGACAAGTAATGTGTATGTGTGTTTGTTACAACTCTCCCTATACATTCAGGAATTGATCAATTGATTACAGGTAGTGGTTACAATGTGGTACAACTACAAACTGTCTCTGATTGAGCCCAGCCCCAAACTATCTTACAGTTGTCCACCTCCTATTTTACTTGAGAATTGTCAATAAAATGCACCTACTGTTTGAAAACCAGATACTCACTTTTTGACAGCTGAAAGTTTTGTTGTCAGATTTTTCCAAAAAGAAGTAAGGATCTAAGTTGAATAATAATTAGAATAAATATGCTTTTTGGGCCTCAGATAACTTCTGATGCCAAGGTTAAAGCTATCAAAGCTCATCTTTTCATCCAACTCATTGGGATAAAAGGGATGAAGCAGGTAAGGTTAGAGATTTACTTAGTTGTAAATGTCCCAACTTGGCCTTCCATCCATTCTCAACTGATTTCACTTATTGCAATTAACAATATAACATTTAATTTCTTTTGACAATCTTTTTCCCCATTCACATTTAATCTACATTTCCTTTAGTTTTCTCTTGGCTATACATCACAAAATAGGATTTCACATAACTTATCAGTTAATTCACTGGCTCCCTTAAGCTTCCTTGGAGAGTTTACATGCTTCAGCAGATAGTGTCACTCTTACCTTGTTATCTGTCACTTTATCCTTTTTACAGTTATTTTTTTTTTCTTGCTAGCTTTTGGTATAATTCTATTTTGAACAATCCAGTGATCTGAATGATAAACATTTATAGTACACATTCTCAAAAATCAATGTGAATGTGGAAAAATGTACAGCAATTAACAGATTCACTGTTATTGTCAATTTCCACCAACATATTGTAATTTCATTTTAATTATCTGCTATTAATTCTCTAAAATTATTATGACTATTTGTTTTCTTTTTAATGATCCTTCAAATATATCTATTATTATTTTTACTTTTATACAGTATTTCTTTAAAACTTCTGTGCAAATATTACATTCAGTATTTGTGATTTTTTTCTGATTACATCTGTATATCTTGGATAAATTCAGCTGAAATTGACAATTTGTGTGAAGATATTTTGTAATTTTAACTTTCAGGTGTGGCCTGGTGACACTGTATTTCCAGATTTCTTTCACCCCAAAGCATTTTCTTACTGGCATGATCTGGCTGAGAAATTCCATAAACAAATCCCATTTGATGGTCTTTGGGTGGTAAGAAAAGTTCTTCTCTTTATCTACTCAGAATGTTTAATTATTCTAGTTTTTTTTATCTCTTCTAATGAAAGAAACAATTAAATTGGCAAAATTTTATAATCATAAATACAAGAGGAAAACAGTAAATATAATCAATTTATATTTAAAATGTTCAACTTTATTTCTTTTAGTGTACATTTGATCTTTGATATAATTGATTGATCCTATTAAAATACTCTCATTCTTAGATTATCAATTCAGTTTAACATAATAACAACATAAGTATGTGGCACCCAGTGAAGATCAAATTTATTACTAAAGTTTTGAACTATAAGACAATGTTCTAACTACTGCTCATAAAATGTCAGTTATGTTACAAATTATAAAAAAGCAAAACTCAAATTTGAGTTATGAGTTTATTGTGTCCAAATGAATTTTGGTTGATGCACTTTTCTGAATTTGTAAAAACTTCTATCTCAAATGAACAAGATTAAGAAATATCCAATATTTCAAAAACAGTGAGATAAAATTGATAATATAATCGTTTTTCATTTCATTGCAACATAAAACTTGTTCATAAGTATCTCTTTTAATATTTTCCTGCATTACTCTTGCCTTGATGGGTGACCCGTCACAAATGGTATTCCAGAACCTTTATAAAATAGTATTACATTTTTATCTGCATTAATTAAAATGATTACAATATTTTGGATTATTCTTTAGGAACTCTTTTTTTTACTTAGTCTGTATCTTGAATGTATGTTGAATATGTACAATAGTGTTTGCTTTTCTTCAATTTTCTAAGGATATGAATGAACCTTCAAATTTTGTATCTGGCTCAGAAGATGGTTGTTTGTATAACAGTTTAAATTATCCGCCCTTTTCTTCTCCAGGTAAGTGGAATTTTAAATGTATTATACAAGTTCCTTTTGCTATTTGCTGTGAAAGTAGGTGTCAAAGAAAATGATTAGACAAGAGAGTACGTTTTCAGCTTTGTATCAAAACTCCACCTTAAATAATAAAATATTTGTTAACGGTAAAGATATCATAGAAAAAGTATTAGATCAACTATTTCCTTTGTAATTAATATAACATATTTGTCATCTTTACATATATAAAGGGCTGTTGTCTATATATGTGTGTGTGTGTCCAGCTAAAACTAAAAAAACTACAAGAGTTCATTACAAAGCAAATATGTATACAAACTCATTATCACCCGCCAGCCAGCCTTTTGTAAAAAATTATCATCCTATGATTTGTATTTATGAAGATATTTTAGAATTAAAATGCATTAAAATACATTTGAAATTCTCAGAATTCAAAAGTAAAAATGAACAGTAATAATTCTTATTCCAGATTAGGATTACCATTTGTTTTTACTTTTTTATTCTGCTGAGCACTATATGTATTTCTAAAATTTCTGTTTTCTTGAATTTATTTTCACATCCATCGTAAATAAAAGTATAACTTTAAAAAAATGAATATTAAAACAACAAAGCAAATTTAAAAGAAGACTATTAATACTGTTATTTGACCAAATGTTTAATATTTATTTAAATATTTGAGTGTGTGTCTGGCTAAAAGTAAAAAACTATAATAATTAAGGTGTGTGTGTATGTATATGACTTATGTATGTATTTTTAATACTTTTCGGACATTTTATGAAAAACAATTTTTTTATTCAATCTTTAAAAAGTAAACTTCATTGTTTTTTTGGTTTGTAACTAACATAAAAAAGTAAATTATTTTCAATTAATTTTTATTGAAGCAAAAAATTATAGCGAGCTTTATTTTTTCAAAAATTAATTTAAATAAAATATAGTTAAAGTTGTATAACAAATATTCAACATGACTAATGTTGACCGTTACTCATGTGTCTCTGCTAATTTTTATTTAACTAAAGTTTTTTCTTTTCAAATACAAATATTGAAATTCAAACATAATTGGTTTTCTAAACTAAATTCTCAATGTATCTTGCTTCTACTCTCTTTCAAAATAGTAATTAATGTTTAGAAATAAAACTTTATTTACTTAAAAAAATTCTAAATTCCCCTCCAAAATAAATAGTAAATGATTATTTTTCAAAGTAAGGCTTGCTATAGTTTTTGCTTGAAAAAATGCTGAAATTAAATATCTTTAAATATATCTTAATTTAAGTTTATCTACTTTTTTATTAATAATAATTTGAACAAACGTTAATGAACTTTTATCTAATTTTTAAGTCGTTTGAAAACATTAACAGAGTATTTATGTCAGTATTTAAATTGAAATTTGAATAAAAAATATGGGGATGTTCAGGTCCCCAAGACCTCCTCACCCAGAGTGTGATATTAGTATTGCGGTATTTTCCTAAATTTAGTTATTTTGTAACAAACCAAAAAAACAATGAAGTTTTCTTTTAAAGATTGAATAAAAAATTATTTTCCATAAGATGGCTGAAAAATATCAATAAATTGTTAATAATAAACTATTATTCAGAGATCTTCTGAGCAATGCCAGTTATCCCCACTAGTAGAATATTAAATTCATTTAATCTAATCTCTATAATTCATATGGACTTTGACTTTACAAGTTTAAGAATAAGATGAGTTTGCTAAATAGTTATATCAAGTTTCAGTGTTGTTCAGTGGCATTTTTTTGTTAGGCATTTTTTAAAAAAAATCATTTTACCTCCAAGCACGGCTACAAAGACACTAAGATTGCAAGAGGTTATTGAGTGTGAGAGAATGAGAAAAAAACACTAAGGAGAGAGAACAATAAAAGAACTAGAATAAAGACAGAAGATAACGATTGCCACCAATCTAGTACTGTGCTTAAATTCATATAGTTTAGGTAGCAAAAAGGAAAGTTAATCAGAAAAATTACCATGAGAATATTTATAGAAAAGATACAGAGAAGCTATGTTATAATAGTGAGAAAGTAACTGATGCTGAGATGACAGGTCGGGAAGAATAACATTGTAGATTCTTTTTTGTATTTTATCTAGAATCTCTAAATACATAGCAGAAGCACTAGACCAGATATATCAGTAATCAATGCATGGATGAATGGTAGACTTCTAAATATGTAAGATAGATTCTAGTGAGAAAAATTGCCTAGCAGTGAACCAACTTTCTTAGCAGCAGATCTACCAATTGACTTAATATAATCTTTTCATTTCATGTCAGTGGAAAACATTAGCCTGAGAAGGTGTCACTCTCCTAGCATGCTGATGGAAGGCAAAATGGGTTCTCTTAATAGAGAGCAGTTTCATTTCAGCAGCATTAAAATTAACAAGTCATTCCTTGTCCCATTTAACAACAGGGGATTCAAGAGCAATTCTCTTGTCATTGGAAGCTTTTCTTGGACATAAACACTAATGCCATGCATATGTATCCTAAAATCTTTTTAACAAAGAGGGAGATAGTCTGGAACAGAGAATACATTAGTAGCAAAAGAGAGTTTAAATTGTTTTTACAAAGTACTAAGATTTCTTAAATTTTTAAGTTACTTGAAATAAACAAAACTAATTTTAATAATCTGAATTGAAATATGCCTGATGCATTTTTCATTTTTTTCATTTCAATACTTAGAAGTGGGTTGGGTAATTTTTCATAGTTCAATTTCATAATTCTATATTTTAATGAGTTTGTAAAAGTAAATAAAGTTACTACTTCAATACAATTCAATTTCAACTCGTTATCTATGCTGATACCAATTATTTACTCCTGTCTTAATAGTATAGTCAGATAAGTTCAATAAGGTGAAATTGGCAGCTGATCCCAAAAATGACCTACAATTTTTTATTAATTTGTGTGAGAAATGCTCATTAATTTTATCACCTCTAAAACGAAATTGTTCTCTTTTAATTCTTTTAGAGAATCATTTTTTCCTTTCATCAGTATGACTGTGGCTAACCTCCAGGAGAGTGACTCATTGTGTCTTCACAGCTTAACATTTTTTGCTGACATGATTATATTGAATCACTTTCTAGGTCTGCTTCTAGGAAAGTTCGTTCACTGTGTCATGCTAGACAATGTTTCTGGCCAGAATCTATCTTACACATTTATAAGTTTACCATTCATCCTTGCCTTGAATATTACTACCACATTTGGTCTGGTGCTTCTGCTATGTATTTTAGAGATTCTTGATAAAATACAAAAAAGAATCTACAATGTTATTGGTCTTGACATGGCATCTCGGCTTCAGTCACTTTTCCATTTTATAGTAATTGTTTTAACATTCTACTTTGGTACCTAGACTTTACAAATTTAAGCACAGTACTAGGTTGGCAGCTAGGTATCATCATTTTACAGTTGAAATTGCTAGATGTAACTGTAAGTTCTCTGCTAACAGTTTCTTCTCTGGTACTTTTTACTTGTGAAAGCTTGAGTAGATACTCTAGCTTCTTGCTTTCCAGTTAACTTTGATCTTTAAAAATTTAAATGCAGTGTCAGTCGTTATCTTCTTAATTCTAATAATCCCTTGCATCTTAGTGATTTTATTGCCTTACTTGGGGAAGAAATGATTACAAAAAAGTGTATTCAATTTCATTATACAGAGTGTGGAGGTTTATTTTTATGGCAGAAAACATGTATCAATTTTTATTATGAAGTAAAAATATGTTGGAAAGAAGACATAAGTTTATATTATGAAGTTTATACAGATTGATTGAGTAAAAAAAATGTAAAACAGAGGCCCTATCATAAGCTACTATTTAACCTTGATTATCATAGACTGAAATGTTTTCTTGATTATACTCTGTTGAAGTGGAAATGTTCTATAAATTCCATATGCTATCCTACATTGTATTTCAAAGAAGCATTTTATCAAATTTTTTCTAGCAATACTTGGTTCTAAACTATTTGAACAGACTCTCTGCCCTTCAGCTCATCAGAATTTATCTTCCCACTACAATCTGCACAACATGTATGGTTACAGTGAGACTAAAATCACAGCCATGTGAGTAGACACAATTTTACATCATTGTTTCACATCAGCTATCTTGAAAGAAATAAAAAGAAATATTTCTTTTATCAAATGTTAGGAATAATCAGATATCATTATGAAACACAGCTTTTGAAGCTAAAAAAATTCATGTTACATTTTAAATGATTCTTTAATATTAACCTTTTGTATAAAACATGAATTTCAAATGCAAAATAAAAAATGAAACATAATTATGATACACACACACATACACACACATTATTTTCATGTTCTTTTTCTTACATATATATTTTAAATTACTTTAAAACCACTTTTTAATGCATAAAGAAAATAACATTTTGTTTTATTTACTCATTTATTTACTCATGCTATTTCATGTTTCAAAATGACTGGCTGTTTTTAATAGTGTTCCTGAGATCCTGAAAGAAATGTGTCAGTGTGCTGAGTGTTTGAAATAATTTAATTCATTTTATCTATTAGATTATTTAATAATATGATTATTCCAATGAATAGAAGAAATGAACTTATTTGGAACTGTTGGTATGCTGACACATTCCTTTTAAAAAACATGAAAAGAACAATAGATTTTGGAGATGTTATTAAAAAGATCCCACCCATCAGTAAGCATGAAATAACATTGTAAATTGCTAAATAAAACATATATATATATATATAATGATGATAATAATGGACACTCCCCTGTTGGTTTCGATGTATGAGGATCTGACAGCTTAAATAATTCAGTTATGAAATTTTGTGTGATAATCTTAAGTGGCACTTAAGACCCACTAGTGATTTATAAAGGAGGCCACATATGGAGCAAGAGTGAGGATTGTGAGATGAGATCACTGTGACACTGAGCTGTCGGCCCGTGGGCTGTTGTCTGGAAGCATATGGTTATAATTAACCAAAATCCTTTGGTTCCCACTCTAGCCTGTTTCTGTTTGTCTACTTGAGATGCCGTGTGTTGTCCTGTGCAAAATTCTCTGCAACTCCCATGAGTCGAATCCAGCGGTCACAGCGCCAATATGTGACACTGAGCTGTCAGCCCGTGATCATCTCTTAGTCATGGCACAAAACTGTAATATTTCTTCCACTGGCATTTTGGGGTTGACTCTTAGTCACTGACACCAGCCTGTGTCCTGGTCGATCATTGGTTGTTGCTACCCGGCAGAATCCTTTGGTCAGGGTACCAGTATGTGACACTGGCTCGTCCAGGGTCGAATCCTGGTCGTTGTATTTTATAATCCTTTGGTCAAGGCACCGAGTGGGAGGGTTGGTCAATACTAAAATAAATTTACACCAGCTGCAACCTCAAACGACATCAGCTCTGTCATTCCCAGCTCACTTCCAACATCTGGTTGCCGAAGTAACTGCTTTGATCTAACCTTCCCACGTCGTGATTTTGATCTTCGGTAGACGAGATCAATCAGGCGTCGGCCCGTAATGTAAGATGAGTCCAGACTGGAGGTGATATCGCACAAGCGTAAAGAAAAAGAAGCAAATAAAATCCCAAGAGGTTAAAAAAAAAATAACAAATTAACTTTATCCATCTGTTATATACAGGTGTGTGTTTTTCTCCCAGCCCGTTTTCTATGGAGTGTGACACTTCTACGTTTTGTAAGCAAGTTTTGGTATCAAGTCAACTGGTTTAGTTTTTAGGTGCTGGGTTGGCTTTGTTCCTCAGTATAACTTGCTATTAGTAGGATAGGCGAAGTCGGAGGTCGTGGAATCTCTCGGTCAGCTTCTGCAAGCCAACACTCTGATTCCTGCTACTCCAACTCAACTCAACTGACTGACTCTAACTGACTGTCGAACGGCCTGAGGGCATTCGTTTATATGGGTACTGACCAAAAACCAGTATAGGGTTAGACGCAGTCTGGGGTTTTCGGTGAATCCCGATTTCCAACAAGAAATCTCTTTGTTGTCAGGCTAGGAAAATTGATTACTTCTCAATTTTGGAAAATTAATCACTTTCTATTTTGGAGGATCTTCTCGTCTGTGAAGAGAGGTCAGAGAAGAGGTCCTTCTAAACTCTTCTTCTCTCACTTGTACCAGTCCCTTCATGGGCGTCCTTCTCATCAAATTACCTCCACCTATCACCATTGCTATCACTTGACCAATGGCATCCCAGCCGTGCTGGCCTCCTTAAAATTATGACCCAGAATTTTTTTTTTTTTTTTTACCCATTGGCCAAAATTTTTACGAATCCCACATTGCCACTTGAAATCTCTCAGATCTTTTGGTCACTCAGAGTCTTCTTAACCAGCACCCTTTACAAATTCCATCAATCACTGTCAAAGTCTGCCATCTAGTCCCTTCATGAAGTTAGCTTTTACTGGAACCCTTGGCTTCTTGAGAAATTAAATTCCTTATCTCCCAAATCATGATTCTTCCATATCTTTTCTCATGCCCAAAATTTTATAATCATCATATTTCTACTCAGCGTGTTGGTGCCTGAAAACAACACTTTGGAAAAGTAAATAATAACAATTCTCTCCATCGGGATACATTTTTCTTGTGCCAAAATTTTTATAATCACCATATTGCTTTGCCTTGCTAGCACTCAAGAAAAAAATGATATCTTGGGAAGATAATTAATATTGATTCTTTTTACTCAGGCTGAAATTTTTATGACCGCTACATGGTCTGCCTGATATCTCAACTTTTTCCTTTTTTCTGAATCTCGTGTTTCTCTCGGCAAGCAAAATTTTTACAAACAACATTAATCAATTTGTCAAAATCTCACATATGGCTTTTCTACAGGTCTACTGTCTACGCTAATTCATGGGTCTTTGGGAAAAGTAACTTTTTTGGAAATAAAATAAAATCTTTTTAATATCAAACTGTATATCTTTTGGGATATCTTCTTTCTGTTCTCAGTATTTCTTGTTTTAATTTCTATGGTTAATTAGTTAGCGAATTACCAGAACTAAATAGTGTCACAACTGTTAGATTGGCTGGCCTTTTAGATCTTGCTCTCACTTCTTGAAGATGATTCAGACAAGTAGATTGAAAACTGCTGAGTCCACTAAAACATGTTGATCTCCATTCTACCTGCTCCAACGGTGTTATGTGGTATATTGACAGCTAACAAGCTGCTTTACAGCTTGTCTTTGTATCTTAGCCATGACCTAACTAGTTGTACATTAGTATCTTGGGTATCCTGTCATCAGACATTCTCAAGACATGACCAGTCCACCGTAGCTGAGACTGTATGAGAAAAGTCTCAATTCCTCCAATATTACACTTGTTAAACATGTCTACGTTAGATGTCTTATCTTGAAGGTTAATGTCACAGATTGCATGCAAACAGCTTTTATGGAAAAGATCCAGCTGGCATATATGGTACCTGTATGGAGTTCACAAATCTAAGCCATACAAAAGGATGGCAAGTACAACAGCTCTGTTGTACTTGCCATCCTTTTGTATGCCAACCTGAATTTTCGTATCCAGTTGAATACCCTGCTCATTCCACAAGTGATGGCGAAGTTTGCCAAAAGCATTGGTAGCCTTAGCAATCTGATGCATGATTTCATCATCTAAAGTTTCACTGTAGTTGACTTTGCTACCAAGATAGGTGAAAGACTTTACATAGTTCAGGGCTTTGTCTTCTACTTTCAATGGTCTCTTTGAAAATTTGTAGACTGGTGGTTTTTGTTTCTAACCACAGAATTGCTTCCGAGTAGGACAAGGTTGGTGCACTACTTTAGTTTTCTTTATGCTAAGTGTAAGACCAAAGGCTTTACATGCAGCAGAGAAACGATTTATTAGATGTTGGGCCTCCTCAAATGATGTTGCTACAAGAGCAGCAACAAATCACAAATAATTTGCGTATGAAGGTGGGTCTTGGCTTTGAAGCGCTGATGATTGAAGAGACCACCAGTTGTTCAAAACTGAAACTTGATGCCGCTCTCTGCATATTTCAGCATCACTGAGAAGAAAAGGGCAAAAAGGACAGGGGCCATGACACACCCTTGCTTGGTGCTGTTTGTGACATCAAAGGATTCTGACTTCATACCATCAGACACGATATTAGCTTTCATTCCTTCAAGAAAGGAGATGATGACCTTTAGAATGTTTTCAGGGATGCCGAGTTTCCTCAAGACTTACCAAAGAACCTCTCGATTCACAGTGTCAAAGGCCTTCGTCAAGTCCACAAACACCATGTACAACTCCTGGTTTTCCTCACAAAACTTCTCTGCAACTTGATGAAGAGAAAATATCATGTCATTGGTGCCACAACCCGACCAAAAACCACACTGCGATTCAGGATAGATGTCGTCAACAAGTTGTATAATGATTCTGTTTAGAATCAGTCTAGCTAGGATTTTGCCTGCAATTGAATGTAGTGATATCCCCAATGATTATCACAGACACATCTGGAACTCTTGTTTTTGTAGAGTGTTTGATAGAGGCATCTTTATAATCCTGTGGGACACAGCCTGCCTTCCATATCTCCACGAAAAGGAGATGTAACTTTTCTACCAACTTTTGGCCACCATGCTTATACACTTTAGGTGAATAGGATCCTTAGGACTAAGTGATTTTCCAGATGAGATTTGCTTGAGTTACTTACCTCTAGGTAGGTTCAAAAGACAACTCCAGAATTTCTGGATTTTGCTCAATTGATGTGATGACAATCTAAAATGTTTGACTTATCCGTTAAGAGAGTATCACCATTTGCTGTGGAGATTGGAGCAACGCCACTTTTCTGAGGACCGAAAATGCTCTCGAGGTCAGCATAGAAAGCCTTTAGATCTTTTCTATCTGAAGGTTCTTGGAGTTCAGTGGCCTTTTCAAACCACTAACACTCTTTCATGGCTCTGAGAGCTCAGTGAACCTGACTTTTGCACTTCTTGTAAGCAATCTTCTTATCGCCTCTTCTTGTCTTCAATCCATGCTTTATGAGAAGAGTGCAATTGATCTATAAGCTGCTGAACTTCTGTATTATTGTCATCAAACCATTTTTGATGTTTACAATGTGGTAGGCCGAGAACCTCCAAGGATGTAGAATATTTTGCATCACACAACATATTCTACATTCTTATAATAAGAACAATTACATTCTATGATATATATATATATATATATATATGATAAGGTATATTAAGATAGCAAGATTTCATCCTGCTTGATTAATTTTGATTGAATCAGGATGAAAATTGTTCATCAACTGTTTGATGTCCATGTTTCATTCTGTTTCTGCTCAGGTGCTTTCAACTGTTCCAATCAGTGTGGTAAACAAGATTTTGTTGGCTACATCTTGACATTTTTTTTTAATGAAATTCTTTAAATTAATACAAAGTGATGTCATGTAAAATTGTTACACAGCATTTCACATGTATTAAGTATTTATATATATATATATTAGATATTAGTTTTTTTTTATTTTTATTTAATTTTTTTTTAATCATTTAACCAGTAAGATGCAAGGGGGTTACTAACTGAGAGAATGAGAAAAAAAAACACTAAGGAGAGAGAACAATAAAAGAACAGGAATTAAGAAATAACGATTGACATTGCATTTAAATTTTTGAAAATCAAAATTGACTGAAAAGTAAGAAGCCGAAAGAGAGTTCCACAAGTGAGGGATGAAACTGTTGGCACAGAACTTACATATATTTCAATTGTAAAATGAGGAGATCTTGCTGACGATCTAGTACTGTGCTATCCAGGTAAGTTCATCAGGACAATTACCATGAAAGTATTTATAGAAAAGACAGGGAAAATGTTATGGTGGTGGGAAAGTGACTGAAGCTGAGATGCCAGGTCAGGGTCAATAACATTCTTCTTTGTGTTTTATCTACAATCCCTAAATATATAGCAGAAATATCAGCCCAGATGTAGCAGCAATATTCAAAGCATGGATGAATTGTAAGATAGATTCTGGAAAGAAAAATTGATTAGCTAGCAACAGACCTAGCAATTGATTCAATCTTTCTAATTTATGTCAGCTGGGAACATTAACTAGGGAATGGGCAGTGAGTAACTCTCCTGGAAGTTAGCATCTGTCATGCTGATGGATAGCAAAAAGAGTTCTCACAAATGATTAAAAGAGAGCAGTTTCATTTTGGTGGCCTTAAAATTAACAAGACATTTCTTGCCACAGTTAATTAACAAAAGATAGTATGTCATTTTGTAAATCAGCTACTAATTTGACCTTATCAAACTGATCAGATTTACTATTAAGACAGAAGTAAATAGTTGTGTCATCAGCATAGATACCGAGTTGAGAACTGATGACATCAGAATGTTTTTTTGTTGAAAATTATAAACAATGTAAGTCCAAGGTTAGAGCCCTGGGGAAACACCTGCATTAATGCAAAAGGATCTAGAATAGTGGCCATTCAAGAACACTTTCATTTTGTGATTTGATAGGAAAAACTGAAGCAATTCAAAATTACATCCAGAAATACCATAACCTTTCAACTTGTGAAGATGGCTAGCATGCCAAATCATGTCTAATGCCTTCAAGATATCTAAAGCAATAGCCCAATCTTCACCATTCTTTTCTAAAGCTTGATAGACTCTTTCAGCAATAATCATTACTACATCAGCAGTTGACTTAGAAAGCTATATTACTCATCTGAAAGAAGAACCTGCAAGGTGAGATGCTTAACCAATTTAGAGTTGATTAGAGCCTCTTGTACTTTGCCAAAAAGAAGTAGAAGGCCAATAGGCTGATAGAAGTATCATATGGTTTGCCAGAGTTCTTAAAGACTGGAAATATAGAAGAAGATTTTCAACAAACAGGAAAGTAAGAAGGCATTTATTGTAGAGTTTAGAAAGAACTGGAGAAAATTTCTTAAAGACTATTGATGGGATACTATCAAGTCCACATGCTTTGTGGTGACCAGTTTAGGAATGATAGCAGAAACTATGGACAAAGTTATATGCATATTAATCAATAGAAACTCAATTCTAAGTGGAAAGTCAGAGAAAGATACTTCAGATGAGTCAAGAGTAGAATCTGAAGAGAGTTTACGACAAAACATTCTGCTATATCAACTAAAGATGTTAACGCCTCAAATTGAGTGAAGAGAGGAGGGATAGAAGACTTGCTTTTATTTACACACTATTACAGAGCTGCCAGTAGTCATGAGAACCAAACTATAGGGTATCCTATTCTATCAGCAAACAATGACTTAGCCTCATTGAGGACACATTTGCAATCATTATGAGCAGACACAAAGAGGCATCTGTTGTGTTCAGAATATTATACTGGTACAGCCAGAAAAAAATGATTCCTGTGTACTATAGTGGCTTAACAGGCTGGTGTGAACCAAAAAGAGTGTAGTTTCACTTGGTATTTCCAAGATGGTACAAAAGCCAAAGAAGACTTCAGTGGCACAATTCTCAATAGGTTAAGAATATCAATCCAATGGGTGTCTCAAAGATAGTCACAAAATGAATTCTAGTCAGTACATTGGTAATAGAAAGAGGTATTGGGAATAGGAGGTTCCTGTCTAATAGATGTCTCAAAAGAAATATCAACAGGTACTACAGTGTAATCCAAATTACCAAGAGGACAGAGTTGTGATGATTGACACAAAAATGAAGAGGAATGTTGAGAGAGAGCAATTTCTATAGTGTCAGGATATATGAATTATGTCTATATTTCTGAGATGAGGTATTATGTACATTATTTACATTATTCGGACTATTGTCCACATCTTTGTCACCATATAAATCGCAACGTTTCGGCCGTTGTACACTCAGGCCTTCTTCAGGTGGTTGGAATGTCGAACTGAACCCTTTATTTTGCTCACTGGGGTAGACTGTTCTAGTTCCACGTGCCATGTTTGATGGATGTCAGCTATCAGTTATCTCCTGTTAATTTTCCCTCTGAAAGTTCTCCACTGCCTTAACCGGGTATTGAATTCACACTCTTTGGGTGTTGTCACTGAATCTAACCAACGCCTTTATCCACTGTGCCATCTGGGTATGAATTTCTGGGTATTATAAACCTAATGTATTCAGCAACCATTTTTACCAGTGCTCATATTGCAATTTTGTTGTTATCATTTCATGTTTTTACCAGAGCTCATATTGCAACTTTGTTGTTATCATTGCTTTTCTCTGGCGCTCCTTATTACTGGTTCCCATATTGTATTTATTTCTATGCTTGGTATCTAACCCCCCCTCCCCCACCGGGGGTTGCATGTGGCACAAGGCCGAGTTTAACGTGGGTTTCCTGAGCCCGTAGGCTCGGCCAAAAAATGCCTGTAGAACCTGTATAAACGGGATCGGGTTGGTCATTCTATGCTTGGTCAGCTCAGGAGATTTTTGTGGCCTAGCATATGTGCTGATTCCTTAAGTTTACAAATTTTCCAATGGTGTTCCCTAGCTACGATCTCAACATGATCCCACAGAGGGTGATGATCTCCCTTCTCTCTCCATATGTGGTCAGCCACGCCTGATTTTTCTACTTCCCTTTGTGTTACAGCTTTCTGGTGTTCTTGAAGTCTTACCTGGTAAACGAAACGTTGTGATAAATATGGCGACAAAGATGAGGACAATAGTCCGAATAATGTAAATGATGTATATGAATTATATATTATATTATTTGTATTATTATTATTTTGTACACAATAGATATTTTATACACACTTTAAGATACCATTAATATTTGTCTTATCATAAAAGATTTATCTTGATTATAATGTGATGATCAATATGTGCACAAATTGAACAAGTGACAAGTCAACTTAATTGAGTATGGTGCATATGTAGTCAGTGTAAGAATTTAAATTTTTTGTTTATTTCTAAGCATTTATCTAATTTCTACATGATCACAGCATTTCAAAAAATGCCTGGATGTAACCAACTTTTCTACTTCTACCTCAGAGTTCTTCATAATGACTGAGATAGTTGAATGTAATTGAATAAAAACAGACCAAAATATAAACTTAAGACGGTTTTTCCACAATTTTGATCCTGATGTACATTGTGTTATTTGAAAATAGAAAAATATAATAAAAAATTAAATATTCAGACTGTGTTGGTTTAATTTAATAAAATAATTATATAAGTGAATATGTAGATTGCTACATGCTTGTTTTAATAATTTTTTCCTTTGTTTTATTATGTAAAAACATAAAACACCATCAGTATGTATATATGTTAGAAAATGATAATGTTTGTGTTTGTTTTAAACAATCTGAAAAATTACTTGCAGTTAACCATTGATGATAATAAACATTTTCTCTGCTAAATCTTTCAAGGAGTAGAGAGGTGAAGATGATTACTCAGAAATGAATAAGTAAGATACTTCTAATAAAATTTTGTTAGAAATAGGTAAGCTAATGAAAGCAAATGTCTCATATATCCAAATTCAGCAGATGAAATCACTCACTTTTTGAAATATTGCTTGTCAGCATTATCCCATCTTTTTGCTAAAATGTAATTGAGTTCTCGGTGATATTGGTTTCATAGTTACAATTTTTTTCAGGTCTCTTGAGAAGATTTTACGAAAGAGAACTTTGGTAATCAGTCGATCAACATTCCCAGGGTCTGGTGTCTATGGTGGACATTGGTCAGGAGATAACCATGCCAACTGGGACCATTTATATTACTCTATTCCTGGTAAATAATGTCTTTAAATAGATAATTTTGTTTCTGTCAGTTAAACTATTTGAAAATATTCAGCTGCTTGAATATATTTATTTCTCAGTCATTTAAAAGTATTTGTTTACATTTCATTTGTTTTGATCATTTATATTCTTAATGATAATTTGCCTTCAATTTTATTTCTATTTTTAAGGTTCATTATTATCATTATTATGCAGAATTTATTATTTTCATGTTTTTCTCTTAATAAGTCCTAATACAATCTACAATAATTTTGTTACTTCTCATGAAAAGCCTGCAGCAGATGGCATACCACTTAAACCTCAACCTCAGCAACACATTCCTTGGGAATCAAATAATACTAAATTCCAACGTGCTTGATAACAATAAAATATATAAACAAAATTAAAAATAATTATAATAAGGCATTTTCATTTTTCTTTAAAGCACTTCTCTCTTTCTTTCTTTCACTCTCTCTCTCCATGAATGTCTCTTTCTATACTTCTCTCAACTAGCAAGAAGGCAACACTCAAATGAAAAGTGGAAGAAGAAAAACCTGAACCTGGCCAAAGAATGCTGGGAGTTTGCAAGAGCCTGCTTATTTATGATTGAAAATACCAAAAATCAGGGTGGCTCAACTATAACTTCCATCATAAAAGAGAAAAAAACATGAAAAAGAAAGGAATGCTGAATAAATAAAAATATTTTGGCCAATCAAAAAATTGACACAAAGATATTTGATGTTAGCTGAAACCACTGTTTGCACTAAAGTCTTGGAGCCTGGTCAAAGGATATATGCTGACATCTCTGAGCTAGAAGCAGAAGGCATGGTGAGATTGATGAAAAAAAAGACACTACTAGCCATGTGTGATGCATGAAGTAGTTAAGAGGTTTTCTGTTAATCATATTTCTGCCCTTCACAGGGCTGAGAAAAATACAGCAGATTGATGCTGACCTATTTCTAAGATAACTACGACTATTATCAAGTCCTGACTTCCAAGCTCTCGAATACTGGGGTGAAACAGACATTTCTCCAGGCTGCTACCAATATCTGCCTTATAAACAGACAATTTTTGTGACAACAATTATCAAAGGACTAACTTGTCACTCTAAAGCAAATAAATAAAAAAAATATATATCTGCTTAAACCCTTTTACCACAGTTTGTTTTATGTTCTATGCTTCTGCTAAACATCACCAAGAATAAACTCCTACCATCTATCTACAAGCTAATGTGACAAAAAGCTGCCATAAGAAATTCAAATCCATCCCTTAAATCTATTCAAGACTTCAACAGGGTGCTTGTTCAACTCAAGAACTCTTATGAAGAGCAACAAGCTGAATACATCCAGAAAAAAAATTGCCTAACCAACTGTGCTGCTGCCAACAAACAATCTGCTCTTGCTGGGAAAACTGTCAACAAGATCAGCGGCAGAAAATCATCAAACAAACCCAAGTTAAAGGCCAATAGTCAAGCTAAATAAATGGCAAGACCATTTTAAAAATCTCTTGGGAAATGTACTTGACATTTTAGATACTGAGGTCAAACAAATTGCTGAACATCCTGTTGACATTAAACTTGGAAATTTTATGAATACAGAACTTGACATGGCATTAAAAACTAGGAAATCAGTGAGACTTGATAACATTTCTCTGGAGGTTTGGAAAACCCAGAATTTCAACAATATTCTGCATCAGCTTTGTAATGTCATATGTAATGGAGAAGTTATAGAAAGTTGAGCAGAAGAAAGATCTAAGATTGTCAAAAAATTATTGAGGAATCACACTTACCTCTACTGTAACAAAAATTTACAACAGTGCTTTTTAACAGAAGGTACTCTGAAAAAAATCAAAATAACTTTAAAAAAAAAATAGATCAACTGTTGGACAAATCCTGACTGTTCAGTGAATTATTGAGGCTCTCAGAACAAAACATCTACAGGCCATCTTACTTTTTGTATATTCCTTTAAAGTCTTTAATTCTGTTCTTAGGGGAAAAATGGAGAAAATCCTTCTGGTATATGACACCCCCTCTGAGACAGTACCTGCCATACAGAAATACCAAATCTGGTTCGATCCCCACATGAAGACATTAGCTTTTTCAAGATTAAAGCAGGGGTTCGTCTGAGAGACACAGGATGCCACCTTAATGAGCTTTCAACCTTGATGTGAAACTATGATGGATGGTGTAATGGACTCATAAATGTCCAAGTTAGCTTGTAAAAATAATTATGTAAAATATACACTGTAACATTTTGTTTCCAGATACAAAACAGTTTGACATTGTAAAGAATAAATGTTGCTTTTTATCTAAATTTCAATATTCATTTACTATTTGTGTTGCTATTGAACCTCTTAATGGTGTAACAATTTTAGTCTACAGAAATTATATATAAATAAAAAGACATAATATTAGCATTTAAAAAAATATTTATTTTTGCTTCATATCTAATAAATTTTAAACTCTGTTTTTAGAAATTCTCAACTTTCAACTGTTTGGTATCCCAATGGTGGGTTCAGATGTTTGTGGTTTCGCAGGGCCTACAAATGCAGAATTATGTACACGTTGGACACAGCTTGGAGCTTTCTATCCATTCATGCGTAACCATAATAACTTGCATATGCCTGTAAGTGTTCTGTCTTGAATATGTTGTTTCTTAGAATCACTTTTATAACTTTTATAGATATATGTAAATTGTTGCAACATTATATTTTTAATTTTGTTAATGTGCATTGTTTGTTATTGATTTTGTTGATTGCACAGTAGAGTAGGATTATTCTGAGAAAATAAGAGCACCATGATGCAATCCACTTCAGCAGAAATTTAGAAACAGCATGCTGTACTGCTTGGTATTTGTACTGGAAGCTCTAATATGAACATTTCAGAGTATTTGGGTGTCAAACTGAGAACACTGCAGAGAATTCGGAAAGAATTAGATGAGTCTAATGGTGATTATGAACATTAGGCAGCTCAGAAAACTCTCTCTGATCAATAAGAAAAAAAAAACTCTTGAATTTTTTTGGTGAGGGCCTCAGACTCAACATGTAGGCTTATATCATGTGCCTTGATGAGGTAGTGCTGACCTGGGTCAAGCAAGTGTCAGCTGGAAGACCCTATGTCTGGCAACAGGACTCTGCACTATGCCACACAAGCAGAAGAACCCCCTTATGGCTGTCAGATAATTTCTGCAACCACATCACCCCTTTCATCTGGCTACCTAACTACCTAGACTGCAACCCTCTTGATTATTATGTCTGGGGTGCAGTTGAGTGAGAAGCCAGTAAAACTCTGTGTAACACCAAAGATAAACTGAACACAAGGATTAGGTCAACATTCACCAAATTTCAAGTATTTCAAGATATTTTTTGTGTAATTTTGGTAAATATATTTGTTAAAATGAGATGTCAGTATTATTTTCATTTTTGCATAATTTATCCATCGCACTCTGAAATTTGACTATAAAGGACACAATTTATAGAGATGCATCAAAGTGTACATAGCTTATAAATTTATGGGAAATTTGTTTACATATGTACCAATAAATAAATAGGTATAATAATTATTCTACAACAGTAAAATAATTTACATTATATTAATTTAAATTATATGTACAATTTAAATATACTTTACCAATTAGGTATAAACAAATATTTGAATAAGGTACATTTATGCAGTAAGTATTCATCCAAGCAAGTTTTACTAACTTCATTTGACAAAGTTTGTCTGTTTAATATTTTTTATTTTTATTGTATTTTTCTAGTTTTTTAAAATAAGATATTGTGCATCAGGATTAGAATTGTGGATAAACTGTCCAAAGTTCATGTTCTGTGGTTTTTGTTCAAGTACTTGTTTATACAATATATATATATATATATATATATATATATATATAATGTAACTAGCTTAAAAGCTGCCCTATTGGGTGGCATTTAAGCTAGCACCTGTAGAGGGCTCTTGATTGGCCTTCATCACAATAGGTAGGAAGGTGTAGGCATCAATAAACTACAGAAAAACTCAAAATTGATTGCTGCATTTAAGTATTGCATTAATATCTAAAGTTATCTTTTAAAAGTTCAACGATAATTCTTCTACTGCCAATTAATTTAAAGACAATTTGATGTATGTAAGTCCTTACTTTCCACACAAACCGTTATTTTTATTTCATGGATGACTTTTGCAGGATTTTGCAGTTATATATTTGCTCACTGTGCATGATTTCATTTGGCATATGGATGTCAATCATTTGAAGTATATAATCAAGCCATTAAAGACAATGTTGTTCTCTCCTTGTGATGCCAAAGATGCATTGTAGGCAGCAAAATCGAAGATTTCCAGGCAGTTATCCTTCCTGATGTATGAATGCAAAGCTCAATAGCATGAAAAAGAATATGCCAAACAAAGTTGGTGCTAAAATGCATCATTGTTTTACACCACTCTCAATTTTGAAGTATATTGAAATTTCACCACCATAGCTGACTACATTGTGCATGTTCTTGTGAAAGGTGATGATGCTGAGCAACTGCGGAGACAGCTAATTTTCATTAGTAACTGAAACAGATCTTGCCTGCTAACAAGGTTGAAAGCCTTTGATAGATCAATGAAGATGATGTATAGTGGCATCTGTTCTTCATTACATTTCTCCTGAAACTGTCATAGGGAGAAGATAATATCAATTGTGGATCTTTTAGCATTAAATCAACATTCTGGGTTGATGTGATCAGTAAGGACTTGGTACTGAGTTAAAACCACTCAAGTAAAGACTTTTCTAACAATGCTTAATAAGAAGATACCCTGGTAGTTATTGCAGTTACTGCAGAAACACTTGTTTTTATGCAGATTAATTAACTTTGCATTGTGCATGTCCCAAGGAATCTTGCTTTCTTTCCAGTAAAGGATCAGGAGACTATAGAGTGGTTTCATTAAAGCTGGTTTACCACATTTGATGATCTCTAGTGGTATGCTGTCTTCATGTAATGTTTTTTCATAAGCTAGAGCATCAATGGTTTTACTGAGCTCTTCCTCTGTAGGTTTGTTGCAGGGCTGATAAGGATGTCACCTCCATAAGCTTATTTGTTTTCAAAGAAAGGTGTGAACAGCCAAGACAATGTGGAGACAAAGGCAGAGGTTTATATTTTAACCAAATGTCGATCTTTATTTTTGCAAAAATAAATGTGCATTATATACAAGTATGTACAGTCAGGAGAAATGCCTGGATGGGTGTCGGGTCTGGGATGACTGGTTTGATACTTAGAGAAATTGTTGGTAGGTTGATAGCACAAGAAAGGTATCTCTTGATGAAGCTGGAGTTCCTAAACAGGGCCAAGTCAGTGAGATGATATGTTTTCCAGCGCAGATCAACCGCAGAAACGGGATTGCACTGCAGGGTATCTCTTGACGAAGCTGAAGTCCCTGAATAGGGTGAAGTCAGTGAGACAATATGTGTCCCAGAGTAGATTAACTGTGGAAACAGGATCATGCCGAAGATTATCTCTTGACGAAGCACTGGGAAGATCAAAAAGGCAGTATCCGGGTACTACACTTTGATCCTGGCCCCGGGACGAGCAGCTTGGGGTTTTTTTTTGGGGGGGGGGCTAAGATTATATCAATTCCTTTGTTCAAGTACTCTCTGGCTAATGGCAGTAGAAAACAGTAAATATAAAATTACTCATAATGCTGTTCCAATGTTTGGTCAACACTGCCTAATCCAATATTCTTAAGGTATGGTTTGGGCTTAAAACATGTAGAGTTAGTCGTTTAATTACTTGCTTGATGCTCATTTTAATTCTGCGAGTAAAAGGGTTGCGAAGGTCATCTTGTCTGTTAGTCTTTTTTTTAAGGAACAGCTAAGGGTGGTTGTGACATGTTCAGAGTTCAGCTCATCTAGGTCTGGTAACCCTCAATAATATCATCAAGTGCTTCTTTAATGATGGAATTTTCTCTTTAGTAAAATTCTTAGAAGTATTCTACCCATTTGCTTGTCTTTGTCTGTAATTAATTTCCCTATCTTTGATTTCATGAGTACGGACATTTATTTTGCCAGTAGCATGTTTAAAGCTCTCATACATATTCAGGTGTTGCTGGTATCCAAGGCCTGTTGGATACTATCTGTTAGTTGGAGCTAGTAGTCATTTGCACAGTGATGTGCAGTTTGCTGAGCCTTACTGCAAGTAGCTTTCAGAACCTGCAGATTTTGCTGGTTAGGGTCATACTTAAATTTAATCAGTGTGCTGTGCTTAGCATTAATGACTGACTCTAATGTGGAGATGTTAGCCTCAAGCCAGTCTTTGTTCCTGTATACCTTCTTTCTATAGGTCAAGACTGCAGCATTATAGATGATATTCCAAAAGGAGTTCCATCTGTCTTCCATGCACTGTGATGAATCCCTGGGAAGGGTCACCACAAGCCTCTAAGAATTTCTGATTTTTATTTTGTTAGATGGCTTTTTAGTGTTAATTCTCAACTAGAATTTTTTCTTTTAATGATGGAGATTCTTAGGTTTTAACTTTACCTTTGAGGAGATCAGAGAATGGTCAGTGTCACAGTCAGCACTGTGGTAAGCTCTGGTGTTGCAGATGTTGTTTAGTGAGTCGCATCTGGTGATGATCAGGTTCAGCTGGTGCCAATGGTTTGATCTTGGATGTCCCCAGGATGCTTTATAGCAAGCTATGTTCTGGAAATAGGTGTTTATGGTAGCAGTAGAACTTTAGGAGTCTTTGGTCATTCTTGTTTATGTGAAGGTGAATATGTTTCTATTTTGGGATATGCTTGACAGTGCTGTCAAATGGTCTTTGATTTTGGGTGTGGCTAGGAGTGTTAGTGCATTGATGCACACAAGGCTTACAAGGCCTTCATATGTGGAGAGGTTAAGGGTGAGAATTCTCTCTGTGCCACTTGCTAGATATTCAAACATACAAAGCAGGGTGTTCCTGATAGTGAATCCAGCACTATGTTCCCTGCATTCATTGACACCCCTGCCAGAAGAATGTGTAGTGTTCATCCTTTAGAGGTCCACTGTCCATAAGTCATGTTTCCAGTAGATCTTGGGTGAACGATTTGATCCTACTAACTATAACCCTATCAGCCTTCTACCTCTTTTTGGCAAAGTAGGTGCTTGTCAACTGGAAATCCTCATCTGTTATTTCAGTCTTTAAGAACTCAGGTGAACCGTCTGACCCTTCTAACTATCAGCCTCTCAGCCTTCTACCTCTTTTTTGGTAAACTAGTAGAGACACTAATCAATGCTGAATTGATTAAACATTTCATCTTGCAGGTTCTTTTTTTAAATAAGCAATATGCTTTCATTTCTCTAGATTAACTGCTGATGTATTAATGATTATTGCTGAAAATTTTTTATCAAGCTTTAGATAAGAATGGTGATGCTTGAGATATAGATATATAGAAGGGTTTGACAGGGTTTGGCATTTGGTCTTCTTCACAAGTTAAAAGGTTATGTTATTTCAGGATTAATTTTTGAACTGCTTCAATCTTTCCTATCAAATCATGAAATTAAAGTTGTCTTGAATGACCACTCTTTTAGATCTTTTTGTATTTATGCAGATGTTTTCATGTTTTGACTGTTAACTGAAGCAAGGAATAGCTTGTTAAATAAAACTGCTCTTTTTAATAATCTAAGAGAACCCATTTTGCTTTCCAGCATGGCTGATGCTAATCTCCAGGAGAGTGACTCATTGCAACTTCTTGGGAAAACATTTTCCTCTGACATAAAATGAAAAGATTACACTGATTCAATTGCTAGGTTTGCCCCTGTGTCATGCTAGACAATTTTTCTCATCATAATCTCTTACACATTTATAAGTCTATCATTCGTCCAATTGAATATTGCTGCCACATCTGGTGTGGTACTTCTATGTATTTAGTGATTCTAAATAAAATACAAAGAAAAATCAGCAATGTTATTGGTCCAGAACTGGCATGTTGGCTTCAGCCACTTTCCCACTGCTGTAATGTAGTTTCCCTGTGTCATTTTATAAATATTTTCATGGTAATTGTTCCGATGAACTTTCTTCTCTGGTACCTAAATTTTATGAATTTACGTGCAGTACTAGATTGATAACAAGTTCTTATCATTTTTTAGTTAAAATGGCTGCTAGATGTAACTGTAAGTTCTATGCTAACAGTTTCTTCTTTTGCACTTGTCATTTGTAGAACTTTCTCCCAACTTTCTACTTTCCAGTAAACTTTGATTTTCCAAAACTTGAATGCAATATCAATCATCATCTTCTGTTTTCTTAATTCCTGTTCTTTTATTGTTTTCTCTCCTTAATAATTTCTTTTTTCTCATATTCTTTCACATTCAGTAACCTTTTGCAGCTTAGTGGCTTTATTGCCTTGCTTGGGATGAAATGATTTAAAAAAATCTGCCACATCAATGTTCAGTTTTTGTTTAGCTTACAATTAATCACCACAGTCTTGCGGGGGTCATCAATTTCCAGAAGGTCATCAGATACACTGTGCATATGGTTGACACATTCCAGCTTGCAATATGAAGGGCTGGATTTTTTATTCTTTTTCCCTTTTGATGTTTGTTTGATGCATGGTTATATATCTGTTATTAAGCTAGCAGCTATAAGCTTCAGGCACCCACTGAAGTAGTCAGACCGTGGTGGGTCAACACCTTAGTGTCTGGGGGCTGCCCAGCTTGAGGTGGATGATAGCTCACCACCATGCTTTCTCCCATGTTATGCTCTCATCAGGTGGTGAGAATGGAGTGACCTCTCCAGGCAATGGTATATAGGGGCTGTGTACCCACTGTCTTGGCCATACTGACAAGAACCAAAAAAATACAGACTATTACATTTGGGGCTGGTTTGGCTGCAGGAATTGCTGGAGGATTTCCAGTATTGACAGCCAACTGCCTTTGGAGCTCCACTCCAGATTTTATATCTGGATTTACTTCATACATTTCTATGTTTGGATATGGCTGCACAGTAGGGTTTTTCTTCTTCCCAGGCTGATGTGCTCCATCTACATGAAGCATCTGGTTATGAGATGTCAGAGGTTTGTTCCTTCTTTGGCTTCAGGATAGACTTAGTTGTCAGAGGCTATATCAGATGCATGCCATGGGCACATTTACTAGTCAGTGGAAACTTATTCCCACTACCACCTTCTGCTATGACAATATATAATGTACATAATTTATCCCAATTTTTATTTTTTAAATAAAAGGACAAGAAAACAATAAAAATTACAAAATGTTGTACATAAATAAAGAAATATAAAGATTGAAAGGTTTGATTACTGTAGGAAAAGGTGGCCAAAAGAAAAAGTAAAATATAATTCAGGACTTAGGCCTGAAATACTCATTATTTATAACGTCAGAAATCTATACTACCTTTTTGACAGTACTAACAGCCAAACTATCAATGGGGAAAAATAAATATAACTTTAGGTTAGCAAAAACAGAAAGTAAAAAATAAGACAAATGATCTTCAAGATAGTTGCACCAAAACAAATTCTAATAGAGGAAAAACTAGTAACTGGGTGAGTTGATGATGATGAAGGAGAAATAATATATAAATATATAAAAGAAATAATAGTTGTGAATTATATTAGTTTTTTAAGCAATATTTAGTTTTCTTTTTGTTTTTTTAGATGTTATTTTTGGGGGAGCTTCAAAAAAACGTGTCATCTCTCCTAGGGTTCAGAATGCAAAAAATTCAATCTTTTCATTCAGAAAAAAAAGATTGGACGATCTGTCATGATGGAACAATTCAATGTACGAAATATAATATCCACAACCAGTGAAAGAATGACATGGACGTGAAAGTTAAACAAAATTTTAATAAGAGAACAATCATGAATGAAAGAAAGAGAAAATGATAGACATATTCGTGTGATGGAATGTTGTGTATGTTGCATATAATGACGAGATTTTGTTTGGTGAAAATATGTATAGGGTAGAAATGGTGAAGATGGGCCAAATATGGGGGTAATTTGCAATGTAATCCCTGTGCTCAGTTTCTAATAAAAATTTCCCAAATAGTTATATTTATGTGTAAATTTACATGCTTAATTTGAAAGTAATGAAGAAATTTTGCTAAAATCTACCATTTTGGAGTTATTGACAATAAAAGTTCAGATTTATTCACGTTGTAGCTACAACACAGCAGCCATTACACAATTTGCGTTTTATAATAAGTAAGATTATTTTTCTTTATTCCATCACTTTTGTTATTAGACATCCCACACTGTGATAATAGAAGTTCTGCTGGGAATGGTGAAATGTTGTAAGTGCCAGGGTACAAATTTATTGTAGTTGATCTTGCATTCAAGATACACTCAAGACTTTTTCCACTTTGTCAAAGACTTTTTGCCAATATTGTTCTTGGTATATAAAATACATAACATTATCTCATTCATAACATTATTTTATATATATATATATATATATATATATATATATATATATATATATATATATGTATGTTAAAGTTTGGGACAAACAAAAATTCATTGTGACTCAATCTTTTGTATAGATAACTGCATGAGGTCATTCAAGGTCATTTTTAGCCTAATTGATTGAGATAATGAGTTTGCTCTTTACACATACTTTTAAGATCACAAATGATAAGGCAGATCTAATTGGAATTTGAACATCATTGGAGGTCCTTAGAGATAGATTTACTTGTTAACTTTAATGATTTTTATTGCAGTTAAACAGTTACGTTCTTCGAGGTAAATTGGTATGTGCAGTTTATTTAGAGAGCAAGAATTAACAGGATAGAAAGTGTTAACTTCTAAGAATTTTGGAGGTCACCAGAAGTCAGTCTTTTAATTTTGCATTAAAATAGCTGTTTTCAGCAAATGAAAGAATTCTAAGAACTAAAAGCTTAGATTTTTTTCCCCTGATTTTGTAATGTTTTGCAAACACCCCCCCAAATATTTTCAAACAAAAATTCTAAAATATCCAAGATTAAACCTGAGCTTTTTCAGCTATCTTAGATATGAAACAATATCCTCAAGATCATAGAAACTACAAGCAGCACTGTTAGCAAGACAATTCTTGCTTGAAAGAATTGATGTGATTGAAGAAATAAATGCAAAGCTGTTGCAACATATTCTTGAGGAGGTTCAGCTGTCTAGACAGTTCTGAACACTTCTGATGCTGTGCAGGACCTACTTAGGTCTCTCAGTTTCTTGGAGCTAGTTAGTACCCCCCACCCCTACATTTGACACTGTCATCTAAAAGTTGGGATGCCTATCATGCTTCTTTGAAATCTTAAACTTCCAAAGTTGTGTAATGAAACTTGTCTAGTTGTCACTTTCTCCCAAAACATTATCAAGGCAAAAAGGATCCCCATAATTCCAACAGACTTACCCTTGGAATTGAAATAAGTCCTAGTGAAACTCAGCTTTGCAATGACCATCAACAAAGCAAAAGGACACTTTCTGGCTTGAACAGGACTTCTTGGTTTTCCCATTGCTAACTTATATTGATTATTTTAGGGTTAAATCTCAAAAAAACAATTTGTATTGGCAACTAGTGGAAGAAGCACTAATATTGTGCACTCAAAAGCCTTGTCAGCCTAAAGAATCATATCATTGTGCATCGAAATATATTTTCAAATACTGTTTCAAGTAAAAATAAGGTAAATAATTACTTTTTCATTTGTTATGTTGCATCAGAACATATTTCTAATGTTTTATTTGAAGTCATTTTCCCCTGGATAATGCTGGTTATTTCAGCTAGCATATGCATGTACGTGTACATGTGGTTTCTTTTAATTACTTTTTCATTTTAGGATCAGGATCCTGCTGTATTTGATGAACACATCCAGAATGCAATGAGACAAGTTTTATTGATTCGTTATAGTCTTCTGCCTTACCTGTACACTTTATTCTACAACAGCCATATAAATGGTACACCTGTTCTTTGGCCTTTATTCTTTCTGTAAGTAATCATTTCTTTGCAACTATATATTAAAATTAGTAATCTTTATTTGTACATTGTGTTCAAGATATCCTTTATGTTATTGGTTTAATGAGCTATAAACATAAACACAGATAATGCCACTGGGTGATGTGCAGCATGTAAATATTAAATTAAAGAAGATAAGAAATCACTGTATTCTCCTTCTGTGCTTCTACATTTGTTTCTTTCTTCTTAACTCAGAGAACATAATTCTATTTTATTCAATGAATGTGTTAATGTAAAATGTTGCAGCTTGCAACATCAAAATAGTGTATCTTAGAAATTTTCTGACATTTGCTACTGAAAAAATTTATTTAAAATTTCAGGATAAACAGTGGCATAGCTAGTGTTTTTGATAGCATATTACCCCCACTTATAATAGTGTGGTATGAGGATTTGGACATACCCATTAGTGTTTATAGGTATGGTATATAAGATATATAAACCTATCTAGTCAAAAATTAACAGATGACCAAAAAGAATTCCTAAATCTAGGGCTAAATTGCCATCTCCAACCTAAATTTGACCTCTTTACAAAGAAGACCAAAATTGAAATTCTACACCAATCACTATCCCAACTTAATGCATTTGGAGACATAGCAGTTCAAACCAACCTGAAAGACTTCCTCAAGGCCAAAGGTTTGAAAAACTACTCCCCTAGCAACAACTACAATAATATCTTAACAACAAAACTAAAAAACACTGCAAAAGAACTAAAAACAACAACCCTAACATTGTCATCAGATGAGCTGACAAAGCTAATACATATGTAATTTTGGATAAAGCTGATTACCACAAAAAATTACAAAACATTATTGATGACTGAACTAAATTCACCAAACTGAACAGAAACCCCACGAAAACCCTAAAAAGGTCCATCAACAAACTAATAACCCCTAATAACACTGAAGTCGGTTCCCTGAAAATCCAAAAAATCATTGGAGACTACCAACCCGGATATTTATATGGAAATATAAAAACCCATAAACCTGGATATCTGTTATGACCAATCATTTCCCAGATCCCAACACCTATGTATGAGCTATCAAAATTCCCGAACAACATCATCACTCCATACCTACCCACCAATTACAGCATCACATCTACCCATAAATTCCTCCAAATTTTAAAATCTACTAAACCAAACCAAGGTATCATAGCATCACTTGACATCAAAAATTTATTTACAAATGTCTCCATCGATCAAACCATTGACATTATCCTCAATTCTGTGTATACTAATAATTCTATCTTCTACCATCCATCAAACCATTTATACTCAAAAAATTACTACATGCATGCACAACCAAAGTCCCATTCTATGACCATAATGGCAACATTTATACCCAAATTAATGGTGTTAGTATGGGGAATCCACTTGACCCATGTTTTCCCAGTTATTACATTTCCCATGTAGAAAGTATGATATTTAACCAGGCCTGTAAACCTAAAATATATGTCCACTACGTAGACAATATTTTTATTTTCATGAAAAACACAAAAGAAATAGATACTCTCAAGACCACAATTGAAAAAACTCTGTCCTTAATATTTTTTATGAACTTACTCTTACCACCTTAACTTTCAAAATGAATGCCCACTCAGATACAAAATAGCAGTAATAAAAATCTTCCTAAAAAAAGCACACCAGAATTCTATCCTCTCGACTACTCTTCCTTAAAGAACTCAATAATGTAAAACAGACACTAGTTAACAATGGCTTCCCTAACCACCTTATACACCACCAAATTAGTCAATTTCTCCTGAAAGTAAATAACAATGATAGTGAACACACAGTCAAAAATAGCATAAATATTTTCTACAAAAACCAAATGCATATCAACTACAATCAAGATGAATTTTCACTTAGAAGAAATATCATAAAGAAACATACTACCCCAATTGACTCAAATAAAAAAGTAAAATTATTTACTACAAAAAATTTAAAACAGCTAACCTTATCCTCAAAAATAGCAACACACTAGCAAAATCAAAATTACAACAAACAAACATTATCTATGAGTTCAAATGCCCCTTAAGAAACTGTGTTCCTGATCAAATCACACAACTACATGCCTATCCAGATGCCTTATGTTACACCTATCTTCCCACAGCTCTATTAGAATCCATTTAAACACACGCACAAACTTACCAGAAACATACTAATAGAAATTACAAACATAATAACATCATCCACATGTAAAAAAAATATTAAAAAAGAAAAAGCCAACATTTAATAATATTAACTACAAACATGGCCACAATGTGCTGTGTTCGGAAAATAAAACATCTATATAACTCTATAAAAACATACAACCCATACACCCAATTAAAAAGCAAGGATAAAGTCATCTTTGATAATGGCTAAAAGTATAGCCGAAAGTGCTCGGAATTATAGAACATTTAAAGTTTGGACACATTCTACACACTCTGTGTCCAAAAAAGAAAAAATTAAATAAAAAGCTTAAATCATAGCACCATGCCTGTGGTCTTTAATGAAACATACATTTGTCGTATTTTTAATTCAATCAATGTGCTTTTGTGGTCCAATGATTAAAAGAATTACATGTGTAGAAAGAGAATAAAAGAAGCATTCTAATTATGTTGTTAATATTGAATATTTTTATTATACTATTTTTTTATGGCAGCTTTGTTAATGAAACCAATATAGCATATATTCTTGCACAACATATTTGGATCATGTCAAGGTCACCAAATATGTTGTCCGATAATGTATTGGTTTCATTAACAAAGCGAGTAGCTATACAACATAAACATATTAAAAAAAGTTCAAATAAACCACAAAAGTCTTCATATAAAAAACACTTGTATGTGTGATATATATATATATATATATATATATATATATATATATATATATATTATGAATTAATTGATTTAAAATGTTTTTTTTCACTACACAGTTCTAACCATGTTTCAAAAATGGAAGCTGAAAGCTCCGAATTTAATTTTGTAATTAAATTAAAGACATTAGTTCCATTTCATCCTCAAGCAAATTTTGGAGTAACTTTTAAAATTACTGGGTTTTAAAGACACAGCAAAAATCATAATTCACGTTTCCAAGGATACAGAGAAATCCAATTCAACCAGATAAGAGGTGTTTGCATGTTCATTATGTCTGTATTTTGATGTATCAGTTATTAGTTACGTTTTGGTAGGGGTAGGGATGTATTTTTCAATGAAATCTGACATCCATTAAATGCATGTCGTCTGGATTTTTCAAAATTTTTATTGTTAACGGCAAAAATTCTTACGGCATTTTTTTCTATTTGTATATTTAAAGATTTTTGGGGGGTGTTTATGTTAGAATATGTTTTATTTAACTACGATTTGAAAAATATTTTCACTTTTAATTTTAATATACTATATTTCTTTTAAGAACAAGTAAATGTATTAGAATCCCTTACAGTATGTAGAATTATTTTCACATCAAGTATAAGTATGTATATTATGAGGTAACAATTTTTTTTTTTTTTTTTTAATTATATTTAAATATTATTTAAGTAAAATTTATGACTACTCCCCTGGCAACAACTACAATAATATCTTAACAAAACTAAAAAATTACTTAGCGCTTTTTTTTTTTTTTTTTTTTTTTTTTGCAAAAATTATTGAAATTATGCTTCTTTCTTTTCTGAAATCTCACCATGGACCAAAAGTGTCCCCCCTCAAGCTAAAACACTGAGGATAAAAAATTATTTAGTTATAAAATAGGTGTCAGATTAACTGCAAAACTTATCTACCGCAGTCTATCAATATCTATTTATCTAACACGGTCTGTCCATATCTATGTACCTAACGTGGTCTGTCCATATCTATGTATCTACCTCAGTTTGTCCATATCTATTTATCTACCTCAGTCTGTCCATATCTATGTATCTACCTCGGTCTGTTCATATCTATATATCTACCTCGGTCTGTCCATATCTATTTATCTAACTCGGCCTGTCTATATCTATTTATCTACCTCGGCCTGTCTATATCTATGTATCTACCTCGGTCTGTCCATATCTATTTATCTACCTCGGTCTGTGCATATCTATGTATCTACCTCGGTCTGTGCATATCTATGTATCTACCTCAGTCTGTCCATATCTATTTATCTATCTCGGTCTGTGCATATCTATTTATCTACCTCGGTCTGTGCATATCTATTTATTAGCTTCAGGCTTTGCATATCTATTTTCTACCCAGTCTGTCCATATCCCCTTATATCTCTCGCTCTGTCTGTATTCCCTTATCTGTTTCTGTCTGTCTGTATCTACATACAAATAATTAAATAGATTTAAATTACACAACTCTGAATTTCATGCAGCTAGCAGTCATTAGGTGGAAATTGCCATATATATATATATATATATATATATATATGAAGAAAAATATATACGGAAAAAACAAAAAACATATTAACATTAAAACAGCATAATTGTATATAAGGATTTTTGTTTGTTTTTTCCGTATATATTTTTCTTCATACTGTCGGATCTATATCCATATATTTGCTTATATATATATATGTAAAGTCTGAGCAAAGAAGATCATGTGTAGTCCTGAGCTACTGTTCCCAAAGTGATAAGGAAACTCATAAAACCCTGTTTATCCTCATGGATGGGCCATTTATGTATGTATGACTTACTTGCTGCAGTAAGATCTAAGTCAAACCAGTCATTTTTAATTTGCTTTAGTACACAGCTCACCTGTATAGGTAATGCTATTTTGATGAACAGATTGTTCTTTGTGCAGCACAAGCAATTGACAGTTATAAACAAATTTTAGTGCAAGTTGTTGAGTAAATTCTTTTGACTCATCTTTATTTTTCATACATCAATAAAATCCTATGGTGATAAAGTGATAGTGATAAACCAGATTGAAGATGCCACTAGAAACCTCTAGTTTGAAATTTGCTGGTTACTTCTGGGCTTCATGTGTTCCTTCTACAACAAAGCAGTGATCCTTAG